TATATATTTGATATTTTGATATATGGAATTGGTTTCCAAGTCTGTTCTGAAGTGACAGAATGTTCTTGAAGGTCAAAGTTGTTGGCAGGAGATTTGTTATGGGTGTTTTATTCATGATTAATTTAGCAAAAATATTGAAGGTCTTGGAGTGGTATGCTAACATAAGAGTTCTTGAATTTAACTCATATTGATATTGGTCATACAAATTGTTGATGTGCCTCATCTTTGAAGATTAGTGTCTCTGTCGCCATTTATCTTCTACATGTTATCTGTCTCTGGGGTTTTAGGTAGATTCTATAGGTTTTATTCTACTGTCATTTAAGAGGGTGTCCTTTTCTTCTTCTGCAAATATCAATATATTGCATTTATTTTCAATGGGAAGTATAGGGCAGTAATTCCATGCATCACTGTTAGTGGAACTTGAATTCTAATTAAGAAGCATAGGGTCTTCTGTGCCAACATCAGTCTTGGATTATCTGACTTTCTGTTAACCCCTGGCCTAGCATTTTATTTTTGGCCATCAATGAATCCCCAGCATATTTTTGTTAATACTATTGTTCTGATTCTGAACTCACAGGTAACCCAAAGGAACTGCATTCTTGGTCGAGGTGACTCAGCAACAAATGCAAACAGAGAGATCTTATCTCATCTGGCTAGGTCAACTTCAAAGATCCCTCAACTAGATGGGCCAATCCCAGATCTATACGATGATATGCTTTCTACTCCCAATGTAAGTGTCATATTTTTCAAATTCAGTAAGTAAACAGAAACTATTCATCTTTCTTGGATTTTGTTGAAGATTTGATCACTCACAGTTCATTTTTTTCCTGGAATCTTCTTCTATTGCCTTGAAGATATACAATCACCAAGGAGTTGTCAATGAAGACTACAATATAGTGAACACACCAGCTTCCGGTAATTTTACTTGCTGGATGTACTGAGATTTTCTGTTTGAATGTTGGTAGGTACAATTTCTTCTTTCTTTGTTTTAGCCACCCGTTTTTATTTTGGTCCATTTTCTCCCTCCAGATGTTCAGGCTGCTACCCCAGCTCTTGTTGTTCAAAATGATGCTGCCCATGATGACGATGATGAGCCATTGAATGAAAATGACGATGATGATTTGGATGATGTGGACCAGCGAGAGGAGCTGAACACACAACATTTTGTTTTGGCTCAGTTTGACATGGTGCCACTTTGAACAAGCATGAATCCTGTTGCACATAAGCGATATGGTAAAATTTGTTTTGAAGAAGTTTCATTGTTTTCATTGTAATCTTATTGTTGATAACAGTATATGTTTTGGTGGGTAGGTCACGCGTACCAAGAGCCGATGGAAGTGCAAACTCAAGGATGGAATTGTCCACATAAACAACAGGGACATTCTCTTTAACAAGGCAAGGTTTTCCTCAATTGATTCCTGGAATTTCCTTTTCCCGTTATTTTCTTAAATCCATGGTTTTTACTGGAGTGCTTGTATCTTTTGCAGGCAAATGGAGAATTTGAGTTCTAATTTTGTTGGAGACATGCCTATTTATCATCAAGTTGCGGTTAAAGATCAAATCTGAGTTGTCCTTTGGTCCTACGTAATTTTTCTAACTATTATTATTAAATAGAAGCTTGAGATTGTGCATAAAAAAATGGTATAAGCCATTTGGGCCTTAGAATCTATTGATACTCAAAACATGTTTTATGAAGTTTTACCATTTCCCAGTTGGAAATTGTAATTCCATTCGTACTTACAAATACTTCGGAACTATTTTTTTCATGTTGACAATCTACCAGTTGCTCCGTTTGTTCATTTTCTTCATGTTTTTGAAACCAAATCAATTCCCTATCCCATACCTGTTATCTTCTATAATGTGTTTGCATTGAATGCTTGATTGCACCAGAATCAGACATTGATAAAAATGATGATTATTTTCTTAGATTTTCAGGTAAGTTAAGATCTGTCGGTGAATTTACATTTTTTGTGTTGCTTGTAAGTATTTTTCTTCTCTTCAAAATTTAAAGACTTGATGTAAAAGTTCTTGAATGGACAAGAGATTTCATATCTCTTGCTTGAGGAAATCAGCTATGTTACAGATGAGGAAAGATGATGGCTTGGTGGGTAAAGGTCTCCCTTATCCATTCTGCAATGGCTTCCAGTGCCTGCATTCAGCCTGTGTTGAAGCTGGGACATCCACACTCATACCAACCCAAGAAACACCCCTTTCTCGCTCGGTGCTCCTTCGCTAATCCAAACCCATCTCCTCTTTCCTTATCTCTCGCTAAAGTTGCCATCTTTTCGAAGCCACCGTCGTCCTTTTCTTGTCAAAAACTGAGATTCACTGTAGGGAATTGAGAACTAATAATTTCTTTTGGGTTTTCAGGGTTGGCTAAATGTTGAATTGTGGGGTTTTTGGGGGGTTTTGTAGGTTGGAGCACAGAGAGAGTATTCTGCAGTGGAAGAGGTAGGGTCGCTTGTGTCTG